GGGGAGGGGGCAAGCCAGGGATTTAGCTCACTGGTTCCACCTCCTGCTTTGAAAGCTCAAGGTCCTGAGTTTGATCCCCAGTACCAAAAAAAAAAAAAAGACAGAAAGAGACGGAAAGAAAAAAAAGAGAAAGAGACAAAGAGAGAGAAAGAGGGAGGGAGGAAGGGAGGCAGGAAGGAAGGGAGGAAACAGAAAGTCAAAGTGTTTTATTTATTAGAAATAATAACTTTTGGGCTGGGGATTTAGCTCACTGGTTCTGGTGCCTGCCTCGCAAGCGCAAGGTCCCGAGTTTGATCCCTGGTACCAAAAAAAAAAAAAGAAATAATAACTTTTGCTACTGCTTTTAACTTTTTTTTTTTTGTTACCGGGGATCAAACTCAGGTCCTTGTGCTTGCAAGGCAGGCAACAGAATACTGCTTTTAACTTTTGAAAACAGAACTGGGTATACCTCTCATTAGAGGAATTCACTTTCAGTTAAAAAAACTCAAAGAAAGTCTGATTCACATCAATCCATAATAACATTCAATCTACTTATTAAAAAAAATTTCAGAACAAAACCAAATTACTCAGAGTAGAGAACCAAATTATAAAAAGGGTTAAATTCTACCTGATGAAATAATTCCATGTCAATTTCAGCTTCTGATTTCCAAGAGTTTTCATCTGATTGAAATAAAAATAGAGAATCACTAAATTTTTTGCACTACTATTTTACTCTATAGGTATGACTGTATGTTTATGACAAAGTAAAAAATAAAACAATTTTTGTATCACTAAGATGCCTACTTACCAGAAACGTTTTCTTGGAAAATAACTTTAGTTCCTTTAAGAAAGTTCTTGCCAATTAAAAACACTTCTTCCTCTCCTTTCACTGAACAGCTATGCAAGCTTTTCTTTAAGATCTCTGGCACTCCGGCTGGCTGAGCTGTGGGTATACACAAGCATTGCATAAAAAGAACCAACACTTATTTCTTACCTAAGATCAACTTGCATTTACATATACAGGTCTATGAGTTGTCCTGTTGACCCTGAATTTAAATTATTCAGCAGCTTAATTTTTCCCTTAACAGAGGGCAAAGAAAATAATTACAAAAGTCCATTTTAATTCCTAGTAAGTTTTGGTTAAGACTTTACAGGCACGGATAAATGCCATCTTTGTTCTTAGATAAATGATAAAAGTTTGAGAAAACGAACTTTGTCATGTTCTCTCTTAGTAATTTTTTTTTTTAAGTTTTAGTGATGGCTAGGATCAAATATTATTATTATAAATATATTCTAAGCAAGTGCTCTGCTACTGAATTATATCTCCAGCCCTCATCTTAGTATTTTTTAAAATTTAAATTTTTAAAAAGAGACTTGTCCCAAAGTCCTAACCCTTAAAACATCAGCTATGCTACATTACAAGGTCTCTGAGGAAATGAGTGGTATGTGAATGGTACTGAGGATATCTTTAAGGATCTAGACACAGGATCCAGAGATCTCATAGCAAAAGGACCCCTAAAAATCAAATAAAATCCCCTTTAGAACAATTTGGTCCAGCAGGTAGTTTCTCTGAACTAAGAAACAGTGATGTTAAAACATAAAATGCAGGGCCGGGGATTTAGCTCAGTGGATTTGCTGCCTGCTGCACAAGCGCAAGGACCAGAGTTCGATCCCCGGTACAAAAAAAACCCAAAGCCCAAAAACCAAAAAAACGTAAAATGCACTTTTTTTCAATTTTAAGGATTAGCCACTACTAAACTAAAATTAAGAAAGACAAGTACCAAGGAACAATATAACAGGAAACTGTAATTAGCCTATTGATTGCCAGGATTTCCTTAATAAAATTTAACAGGAATTGCTTAGGAAAACAGGTTCCAAAGTCAAGTAGATCTGGGAAATACTGGGTTAAAAAAGCTAAACAAAAATATTTCTCCAAACATTTCATACTCTAAATATCTAAGAGGTGAGTACAATATACACTTTTCTGAAAACATTTGACTCTAGATACATTCTTCCTTACCAGTAACCTTTACATAAATATTAGTTTCCAAAAGACCACTCTCTGGGATTCTAATGTATGATGATGTATTTTAAGCACTCAAAGAGACTTTTTCCTTTAAGGTTAATACATTCTGTTGGCTTGAACCACTGGTGTTACAAACAGATCTAATCACTTTTTAAAAAAAGTTTTTTGAGACAGGGCCTTGCTGTATAGTCTAGGCTGGTCTTGAATTCACTATGTAGCCCAAGCTGGCCTTTAACTCATGGCGATCCTCTTTGCCTCAGCCTCCTGACTGCTTGAGTTACAGGTGAGCCACCATGCCCAGCTCTAATAACTTCTATTGGTCTTTTTACTAATAAAACTAATAAAAAGCCACCCAACGGAATTCTCATGTATGTATAAAGAGTGGGTCAAACCACATAATGAGTATGTGGATAATGCAGTGAAACATACGAATTACAGTCCCATCATGAACATGTAAGTACTCTGTCACAGGTTATACTACTTGTTGTTGCTGTTTTGGTACCAGGGATTTAACTCGGGACCTTGTGCTTGCAAGGCAGGCATGGTGCCACTGAGCTAAATCCCAGGCCCACTACTTGTTTTTTTTTTTTCACTACTTGTTTTAACAAACCCATACAATATGTGTTACAAAGGTAAACAGATATTATCTAACTCATCAATGCATAAATTACTGAGGCTTTTCAGTAAATTCTGAAAAAATCTTTACTTATATATTGAATAATGAATTTTATCTTTTTTTTTTTTTTTTGGGTACTGGGGATGGAACTCGGGTCCTTGTGCTTGTGCGGCAGGCGGCAGAACCACTGAGCTAAATCCCCAGCCTGTAACCATACTTTAAATCACCCAGAAGCTATGGCTAGGACAAAGTGAATTGTTCAAACTTGGTTTCAATGCTGCAGTTTAAGTGACTGTGGTGGCAGTACAGCATAGTGGCTAAAAGCAGAGGTTTTGTTTAAATCCTGACCTTGCTATTCATCCTTTATGTGGTTTTGATCTCTCTCTCAGTTTCATCATCTTTAGAATGGAATCCACATATAGTGATGGTGAGACTTATATGACATAACGTTTATGTAGAGTACTTAATGAAATGTCACGGACATAGCTAGAGTTCAAACATGATAGCTATTATTATTAGCCTTATGTACCTTTCACTGGATATTGCTGCTTCCTATGGTTACCATAGCTATCACAGAAACAGCTTTTCAGAAAGACATACTCATTGATAATGTGAACACGTATTATCATTAGTGCTGGGAATTAACTATGATAATTAAAGATAAAAATTTTTAGGAGGTCATTTTTTTATTTCTTTTATATTTTCTATCATCTTTACCTAGGTATACTCATACTTTGTCAACAACTTAACAAAATGAGAAAGGAAGAAATGAATGAACGAACTAATAATGCAATAAGCAAACCAAACTGGCAACTATTTCCCAGTCCCTACTAAAGCATTATCATCTGAACCATCAAACACCACCTGGCTCTGCTCTTCAAAGAGCAGCTATGATCATGCTCAAATTGTTAAGATTATGCTTCACTAAAATTCCAACTCCAACCTAATAATATTTAATTAAGGCCATGTCATGAAATTATATCAAGTTCAGAAATTTAACACTTCAACTAGAAAAGCTTTACAATTCCATAAACCATATATAGATTATTTATTCTGTTCCTCAGTGAACATGATAGAATGGCCATAGAATCCACAAACTCTGAAAACAGCCTATTTATAAGGAAATATTACCAAGAAAGCACAACAAAGAAATGCGAGTAAAAACAAAATTTACAAAGTAATGAAAAATAGAGAAATTCAACTGAACTCCCTCCCCTGAGATCAAAAAGATATTTCTAGTACCTTCTTCTTAAAATTTGGGTGTTTGTAAGCTGAAGTATAATAATTTCCAATATGAATTAAAAGAATGAAAATATGGCTTACAAAGAATACATAACAAAACTAAGGAACAATTAAATAACAAAGGATCTGTAACTATCCAAGTAGTAGCATAGCCATAAGACCCATAGCAACTCAATAGAAAACTCAACTGGAATAATTTTTTTTTGTTCTTTTGAAATAAAATATAAATTATAAAAAAGCAATGCCAAATAAAATAATCCATAATGAAAATTTTCTTAAATGATATAAAAGGAAAATTTCCCCATTTATTACTTGTAACTCATTAGAGAGAAACTACAATTATGAGACACATGTAACAACATAATTATATTTAAATATACATATACCCACATGTTATCTTCTTTCTATGAAAAGGTGCGTGACAAAAAAATTTATTTCCCACTTTCAACACTAAACTATAACACTGTAATTTGTAATTCCAAACTTCTGACATGCTATTATTTACGAAGTTCTGCTTACTTCACTTTTACATTCTAACACAAAACACAGGATCAAAGCAATTTACCACAGTGAAGGTTCTTGGAAAATGCTTTAGCTTGGCAAGTTACTTTGGGGAACCTATTCAAATTACTTTTAAAATCAGTATATGATGATAATAGGAAACTACAAAACACTACACACATTTTGAATTTTATTTCAATTACTTACCTTTAGTTTAACTCAGAAAACATGACTACACTTTTTTTTAATCTAAGAGACAGGATCTTGCTGTTTTGCCAAAGCTAGCTGTAAATCCTGGGCTCAAGTGATCCCCTTGCCTCACTCAGCCTTCCACTTTGCTGGGACCATAGTATATGCCATTGTGTCCAGCTCCTGACTACAGCTTTTAGAATATTTAAAATTCTGCATAATCTAAGCTTGAATGAATAAAAAAATCTAAAAGTAAGACATGTCTGAAAGATTAATAGACAGTAAATAGTCTCCATATTCTTAGTATCTACATATTTTCTCACTTACTACACAAAATTGGAGAGGAGGGTGTTTGCAATGTCAAAGTAGAGCCATCTTTCCTTGTGATGTTAACTCGAAAAACCAATCTTGCTCGAGTGCTTTTCTTCTTGGAACCAGCAATTCCTATTCTGGCTTCAACATCAGCATTCCTCAATTTTAATATCCCTACACAGTCCACCCTAACACAGAAAAAAGTATAATAATTAACATCTTGTTATATAAATATTACAACATTCTTAATCAAATAAGGTTTTCTTCTAAAAATGTACTTATCCATTAATTCTTTGAATGTATAATATAGTTCTAAAGTTCCAAACTGAAAAGTACAGAAGGGTAAATTCTAAACATTAGGAGTTCCTAATCTTGTCAACCTCTTGTTTATATAAACAGGGAGGGCCAGGATTTAGCTCAGTGGTTTCACTGCCTGCTGCACAAGCACAAGGACCCAAGTTCGATTCCCAGTACCAAAACAAAACAAAACAAAACAGGGAAAATAGTAAGGAAATAAAATCACTATGTTAAAATCTGAACAGAAATGGGCCAGTGATTTAGCTCAGTGGTTCTGCCACCTGCTGTGCAGGCACAAGGACCTCAGTTCGATCCCCAGTACAAAAAAAAAAAAATCTGAACAGAAGTAATGGCATATAAAAGACTCTTTTTAGATATAGTCTTAGTTGCTTAGTCTCTCTCCACCCCCCACCATCCCTCAGGAATATATACAGCCATCAAAAAATATGTTATAACATTTAATGATACGGCAAAATGCTCATATGTTAAGTGAAAAAAAGGTTACAAAAAATGAACACACTATTATCTCAATTTTGTCCAAAAATGAAAGGAAAATATTGGAAAGGTAAATATTAAAGTAATATTTATTTCAGGGAAGTGAAGTTTTGAAGGATTTTTTTTTCCAAGGGTATGTTTTAACTTTATTACTCTGCTTCCAACTTTCTTAAACTTT